AAAGAAAAAGAAAGAAGGAAAGAAAGAAAGAAAGAAAGAAAGAAAGAAAGAAAGAAAGAAAGAAAGAAAGAAAGAAAGACAATCTTCAAAATCCAAGCCTGTAATTTTGCAGTTTGTATAAATCGAAAGAAGAACGTTGCTTGAGGCAGGTCTGCTGTGTTTATTCTTTTTCCTCGTTGTTCTTTCCCCTAATTTGGGTCCCGAGTTGCCCTGCATCCCCTTCCCAGGCCAGCCTTTCTTTTACAACCCGGGGAGAAATACGGGTCGTGATGCAGGCAGGGACCCCGTCACGGGACAGCTGGGCCCTTCCGGGGTGCTCCCGCTCCCTCAGCAGCGTGAGGGCCGCTCCAGGGCAGGACTCCAGCGCTGCCACGTGAGCGGAGCGCCCTGCGCTCACCTCGCCCCTTTCTCTCCCTGCAGGGTGGAGTTCACCGTGGGAGACAAGCCCGTCTCCAACTTCCGTATGATCGAGAGGCACTACTTCAGGGACCGTCTCCTGAAGAACTTTGACTTTGACTTTGGCTTCTGCATCCCCTGCAGCAGGAACACCTGTGAGCACATCTACGAGTTTCCTCAGCTTTCCGAGGACCTCAGTAAGTGCCTCTTGGGCCTGGTCGGGGGAACAGCCCCTGCAGGGGTGGGAGGCTTGGGCCCAGGGGGATCCCATGGCCCAAGTGGGGACTGACGGCTGGCTTCAGCCTGGGGGCATCGGGCTCTTCTGCGGCAGTCAGAAAATCCTGCCCTTTGGTGCCGTCACTGGCCCCACGGCCAAAGTCTCGAGGGAGACAGAAGATAAGCGGTCTTGCTTTAAACTTCCCCGAATCCCGCAGATTCTCCCGCTGCTCCCTCCTCCCCAGGGTTTTTCAGGCTGCTTTGTGGAGCGGGCGCTGCCTGCACTGCAGGGTTGGCACCAGCGGCCTTCTCCGCCGGCTGTCTCTGGGCCGTGGCTGCCCTCCTCCCTCTCTCTCGCCCCTGCAGTACGCTTGATGGTCGAGAACCCCTACGAGACTCGCTCAGACAGCTTCTACTTTGTGGACAACAAGCTGATCATGCACAACAAGGCCGATTACGCCTACAACGGCGGGCAGTAGCCATTCCAGCACCGCCTGCGGATGTTGCGCAGGCCAGAGGCAGCCTGGCCTTGCTCCTCCTTGCCGAGTGGGAGGGGCCTCTTCTGGGACAGTAAAGGAATTCCCTGGGCCGCTCATTCCTTGCTCCATCGTGGCTTCCGTTGGCATCCTGGTCTGGTGACAAGCCCGCCAGCGGCCCCTCCAATGGACCAAGCTTGGCAGGCACCCCCTTCCTAGCGCATCCCGCAGCCCAGAGAGCTGGGCAGGTGTCCGTTGCTCCTCCTCCCGCCTCCTAGCCTGCTTTGCACCCGAGCTGATGTGTGTCAGGGTTGTCCCTCCGTCTTTGGGGCTCCCGGGGAGGGCGGAACTCGGCAGCATTTCCTTCTGGGCCTGTTCAAGCAACCGCAACCCCTCGAGGTCTGGCCTGCGTGGTAAAGACGCCTGGGGCCCTCCAGGCAGAGGAGCGGAAGGCGACTCCTGGCTTCTCCTGCCTAGCAGCTCTCACCGGGGAGGTGGGGGCCATCCTAATTTTTCCCCTCCCTTCCCCACCCCTCGAGATTGCCGGGCAGAAGGCAAAGGCCGCAGGTGAGGACTGGCTCGGCCCTCTGGCCGCCTCCCTGTAGACGCTGCTTTGGCAGGAGGGCTGTGGGGCACCCCGTGGCAGTCAGTCTCCAAGGGGGGGGGGCTCCCGGGGGCAATGGAGTAGTCTAAAAGAGCAACCTTTAAGCCTCTTAGTTGGGGGGAGGGTTAAGTGCCCCCAACAAAAGAGCTTCAGGTGCAGGACGATTTTCTTTCTTGGGGGGGGGAAGGGGTCGGTTCTCGGGGTGGTCTGGGGAAGGGCTGGTGGTGAGAGTGGTGGGTCGACGCTTCCCCGGCTCTCTCTGGCAAAAGTGCCTTTTTTCTCCAAGGGCTCCCCCCCACCCCCCGATCCCTCATGGTTAAAACCAGGTGCCTTTGGAACTGCCCCTCGGTCTGACCCGGAAGCCTCGGTTGGGCTGACCCCAAAGCGGGGGCCGCTCGCAATAACCTTCCCTCTGTGCCTTCCTTGCCACTGGCTGCCCAGCAATACGAGGGGGACGGGGTACGTGTGGAGGGAAAAGTGGGGTCCCTCCCTGGGGACGAGGGAATGGCCAGGCGCCCCCAGTGCGTCCGTTGGGGACCTGCCCTCGCACCTCCCCCCCACCCTCTCCTGGAGCTGCTTCTCTCCTGCTCTGCAAGGGCCCCATTTCGGCCACTCTTGCTGGGCATGCAGGGGACAGTTTGTGGTATTTTTTGGGTGGGGGGGTGTTTCTGCCAGGCAAAGGGTGGGGCTGCCCTTCCAAAGCAGCGTGTGATTAGAAATCCAGGCCTCCCTTTTAGGAGGGGGCCTGGGGTCAGCAGGGGGCTTCTCAGCCTGCCCCAGGGCTGGAAAGGGGGCCTGAAATTGAGGTGGTGCGTTTCCTCCTTTCTAGCTCATGGAAAAAGCAAAAAGGGGGCTCCCCTATAGACTCTCCCCCCCCTTTGAAAGGGAAGACCGGCTGTGGGGAGACCAGCTCCCAGCAATGGGCAGCAGACTTGGCCCCCTTGGTAGCCACTGGCAGTCATCCTGTCCGGAGCATGTCCCACCCGAGCACTGCTGAGGAGCAGCCGTTTGGCCGTGACTTCTGTGTGGGGGTCAAATGCTCTCTCTCTCTCTCTCTCTCACACACACACACACACACACACACACACCCCTCTCTGACCGTTTCCAGTTAGGTGAACTGACCCCCAGGCTCAGGGACTGGGAATTGCATTTCCCACGCTACGGGAGTTCTGGAATTCTGTATGCCATGATCCTATGAGATGGGCATTTAGTGCGACAGTGCAGTGAATTTCCCAAGGGCGGGAGAAGATTGAGCACTGTGGCCAAAAGCCCCCCCCCCAACCCACACCACCCCCCCCCCCCCCATAGTGTGGCTTTGAATTGGCCATTGGCACTTCATGAGAGTTTGTCCATGCAAGGAGCTCTCCCTCCCCACACAACCTTGTGTGGCACGTGTGAAATGCACAGGAGACAGTTCCTAGTTTTTCTAATTTTCTGCCGGTATTTTTCCATAGACGTTCCAAAAGTCCCCCCCCTTCCCCCCCCCCCCCCCCCGTGATTTCCTTCATTGTATCATCTCCATCATGCTATCATTTTTATATCTCCTTGATCTGCAGTAATCTAGCCGACTTGTTTGTATAAAGTGTTATTTTGTCTCAAGCAATAGTAATTAAAATAAAACCTACATTCCACTCTGGTGTTGTGTCATAAGGTGGGCCTGAATTGTGTAAATTTGGATGGTGAATTTACTGGGGGGGCCTAAGAGGAGGCATCGAAAGGGCGCTGGAGGATGTCAGCATCCGCCTCGCTTGGAAGAGGAACCTTTTTCAGCAGTGGTCATCAATGCTCCTATAAATAGAAAGTTATATCTAGTAGCCAGCCCAGGTTTGTTAAAAACCGATCACACCAAACGCATCTTATTTCATTCTTTGACAAAGTGACTAAATTAGTAGACCAGCAAAATTCTATGCCGTTGAGACTGCAAAGAGTGCAGAAGACAGCAGTAAAGATGATTAGGAGGCTAAAACAGAAATTGGGCATGTCTAGTCTAGAGAAAAGGACCAGGGCGGGACATGATAGCATCTTCCAATATTTGAAGGGCTGCCATGAAGTGAAGGTTCAGCCTCTTCTCCAAAGCACCGGAAGGCAGGACAAGAATCCAGGAGGGAAGCAACTAAGGAATTGGCTAACAGTGGGAACAATTAAATCCTTGGAACGACTTGCCTCCAGAAGTCGTGGACGCTCCACCCCTGGAGGTTTTTAAGAAGAGACGGGACAGCCACTCGTCTGGAATGGCATAGGCCCTCCTCCTTGAGCAGGGGGCTGGACTAGAAGACCTCCAAGGTCCCTTCCAACTCTATTCTGACTGATTAAGGCTTCTGAAATCCTTGGGGAGGGGTGAAAATTGGACTTCTCCGTTGACCGAGGGATTTGATTTGCTGGCCCCTGTGGTCACTTTCAACTCTGGTTATTGCAAAAGGGGGAAAAGAAAGAAGTGATAGTGGAGCATATTATGGCAGGTCTCAAGGACACCAAGAAAGCTTGTCCTAGATCGGGGCTCTCCCACCTGAGCCACTTTAAGCCTGGCGGACTTCAACTCCCAGGATTCCCTAGCCAGCTTGGCTGGGGAATCCTGGGAGTTGAAGTCCGCCAGGCTTAAAGTGGCCCAGGTGGGAGAGCCCTGTCCTAGAGGTCATCCAGAAGTGCCGAAGCCGAGGTGCATGGGGTCAATGGCAGTGCCTCCCTCGGTTGGTCCCGCTGATTTCTCGGGATCCTTTTGGAGCTGAGAAGGCGCCTCCTGGCTCTCTGGCCGGCCCTTCCTGCGTGCGGCTTAAAAGCCCCCGAGAGCTTCTGGCCCCGGGCAAAGGAGCCTGGCGACGCTTCCATCCTCCGGACCGGGAGCCGCGTTGAAGGCAGGAGCCGCGGAGCGGAGCGAGAAGAAACCGGCCGGGAAGCCGGCGTGCGTGCGTGCGTGCGTGCGTGTATCGCCCTCCCCGGTCTCTCGCAAGAGGCATCACCCCGCCCGCCTCCGTCCCGGGGCAAAAGGCGGGTCGCTGGGCGGACGCAGCCGGACCCGCCCCCCACCCGTCCGCGCGAGGGCGGGGCTTGGGGGACGCTCCGCCCAGGAGGCTCCGCAGCGCCCACGTGCCAGCGCCCCGCCCCCAAGCCCCGCCCTCCCTCTCTCCCTCCCTCGGGCGGCGATGGCGGCGCTGGTGGCCTCGGCGGGGCGGCGGGGCGTCCTTGGCGCCCGCGGAGGTCGGCGGGGCTTCGGGAAGGGACCCTCCGGCTGCTCCCGGCGCCTCCCGCCCAGGGGCAGCCTACCTGGCAGGGGCGGCGGGCAGGCGGGTCTGGGTGGGCGCCCCGGCTGAGCCCCTCTCCCTCCCCCCGTCCGTCCCCCTCCTCTTCCTCCAGCGCGGCTGCTGCACGTGGGGCTGCCCGAGACGCACCGGATGCTGCGGGAGACCTGCCGGGACTTCGCCGCGAAGGAGTTGGCGCCCCTCGCCGCGAGCCTCGACCGCGACCACCGCTTCCCCGCCGAGCAGGTGCGGGACCCCCGAGCTGGGAATGGGGGGGCGGAGGGGCAGCCCTAGAGCAACGCCCGCGGGGCCTCTCTGCTCCATGGAAGGGGCTTCTGGCCGGCTGTGACCCTGGAGCCACTTCCAGGGAGTCCTCGACTTAGGACCATTCGTTTCGTGGCCAAAGTTGCAAGGACCCTGAACCAAGTGAGCGATGGCTCCCTTTCCGGAAGTTCAGGGGCTTGGCAGGGGTCTTGGGGTCCCCTTCGGCCTATGGAGCTTCTCTGCCCTCCGGGTCACGGCCGGCCAAAGGGGCTTCCTAGGAAAGGCCCAGTCCAGCCGCCCTTGGAAAAAGCCCCCTTTGCCTCCTCCCCTCACCAGGGAAGCCAGATTCCCTGAACAACCCTGTTACCAACTGAACAACTCCAGGGATTCGCTTAATGGCTGCAGCAAAAAAAAGTTGTAAAACAGGGCAAAACTCTTTCCACAAATCTTGGCCCCTCCCGCACGGCATGCCCACCTGGGCGTCTCTGCCTCCCCTCCGGGCATTGCCAGTCCTTCAACCACGAGATGCAGGCCTTTTATTCCTCAAGTGTGAAAAACTACTTTGCAGGAGAACCAAGCTCTCCACGTCCTGTTTGCTGGCCCTTAGGCGAGTCACCTTTCGCCCTGATTTGTGTTTGCCTGGTGGTGCCCTCGCTGAACTTAGACTGCCCTGAAATGCGCCTTTTTGAGACACAAGGAAGGCCGTAAATCAGGGTTGAGCAACGGTGTCCCTTTTCCAACCCAGAGGTTTCAACTGGCTGGCTCAGGAATTCTGGGAGTTGAAGTCCCAACAGGTCGTAAACATTGGCAGAGCTGCTCAGCCAGGGCAGAAATGTTCTCGCTTGACAAGGCAGATCCTGGATCGGTGCCCTCGGCAACTGACGCTAGCTTGATCGGCACTCTTAAAGAGCCAAATTGCTTTGCTGGGTTTCCACCCCGAGGGTCAAACTCTGCCGAGGCCCTTTCGTAACCTCATTCCTCCCATTTCTAGATTAAGAAAATGGGGGCGCTTGGCCTGCTAGCAATGGCGGTGCCCGAAAAATACGGAGGAGCCGGCTTGGATTGCTTGGCTTACACCGTCGCCATGGAGGAGATCAGCCGCGGCTGCGCCTCCACCGGCGTCATCATGAGTGTCAACAACGTAGGTCCCCCCCCCAACCCGCCCCCAGTGGCCCTGCCCAGCCTGGAGGGGCCCCTCCCCTCCCCGGAGGGTCGGAGGTGGGGAGGTCCCTGAAGGAGATTTACGGGGATCCTTTTGTTTCTTGAGTCGCTGTATCTAGGACCGGTTTTGAAGTTTGGGTCTGAAGAGCAGAAACAGCAGTGGATCCCTCCCTTCACCGGTGGGGAGAAAGTGGGGTGCTTTGCCCTCAGCGAACCAGGTAACTTGGGCGCTTGGGAGTTGCCCCCGGGCAGCCCTTTCCTTTTGGACGGGGGGGGGGGGGGGTTTCCTCTGGCCACCCAGGGCAGCATGGGGGTTTTTGTTGGCCGGGGGGGGGGGGGGGGGGGGGGTCGGGGTGTGACAGGGGACTGGGGGGGGGGGGAGACCAGGGGTGACCAAGAGCTAAGGCGGGGCTTCTCCCTGACCCTCCCTCCCTCTCATTATAATTTCCCTTCCCTTCTTTTCATTCTCCTTTCTTCTTCCTTCCTTCCCTCCCTCCTTTTTCCTTCCTTGCGCTCTTCCCATCTTCCTCTTTCCCTTCCTCCTTTCCTGTCCCTTCCTGCATGCTCCAATTGCAAAATGGGAAATATTTCTCCTTTGGTTTTGTTCTTAGTTTGTTTTGTTTCGTCTGCCAGCGAGAACGGAGCTCGGGGGAGCCAGCCCCCCTCCACTGCCCCTTGCTGGCCGAGGGCTGCAGGAAGCCGCCCAAAATGCTCCATTTTTCTGCTCCGGCAGAGGCACCTTTGCTGTTTCCCGCGAGTCAGAACTAAACAGCCTATGGGCCAAATCCGGCCCAGGGGCCTTGAGTTTGAGAGCCCCGTTTTAGATTCTGCAGGTAGGCCTTGACTTAACTGAGCCCCAAATTTCCATTGCTAAGCAAGACAGCTGTTGAGCGAGTTTTTCCCCATTTTACAACCTTTCTTGCCATGGTTGTCAAGCGAATCCGGCTTCCCCATGGACT